AACTATACTAATATAACTGAGTGTATGGTGAAGTCTCGTCACCACTCATTGCGCGCGTCTTGCGGCGATTGGTGGGTTGATATCATCACGATATCAACCAATGAGCAGACTCTTTGGTCGACCCTTCAATATCACCACTTCGGTGATATTGTTCAAAGAATATTCACTTAATATTCTTTGTTGTCACTTTCTTAAAAGTGACACTCTCATGCAACGGGATGCCCCGTCACATCACCCCCCTTAACTGATAGTAACTGTGTGACTATCGAAAACTTGGTGGCCACCCGTTGGGCGCCATTGGGACAGGGAGCAATTGTTGAGTCAGTTCCGTTCATAACTCAACCTGACCTCGGATAGTTAACATGTCTATGCGGGGTGACTCAAGGCACACAGAGTCTGTGCCCATGCCAGCTTCTGCGGCAGACGATTCGTCGTCTGCTGCTCGTTCTTCGCCTGCAGCAAGAGGTGCTGCAGGTGCACGTGGTACAGCACCGCGTGCGCATGATGACCCCGATATTGAGGTCATCTACTCTGGCAAGTCAGACGTGTCTGACTCGGGCAATGCTGAAGAGGCGTCCCGATCACCGGCGACGCCTCAGTATTCGCCAAGGCCACTGCCGAACGAACGGACTCGTAAGTTGCAACACAGTAAGTTCGGCAGTGATGACGAATCTGGTGATGAATATGTTTGCTCATCAACGCGATTAGCTCGTTCTCCTTCGCACGAGCGACTTGACATTGGTGCAAGCCATCGTCATGCTGACAACCGTGGTACCGACAAGGGTACCACTGTGAAGCGTGATGAGCTGAAGCCGTGGCGTTTGCCTGAACACTCATCATTGGCTTGTCTCACGAGACAAGCCAACACCATCGAGTAACCTTATTCGATGCGACTGAGCTTCAAGGCTTGGATCCCAGCGCGAGCAACTTTCGCGCTGAAGAAGATTTTTATCTCGATGTCTTCCTTAGATATCGATGGTACAACTGCAACTAAAAGCGTGACAAGGCCTCGCTTTTGGCTGCGTGGAACGCGTTCGACCAAAACGTCAAGAATTTTGGACGAGAAGGGTGGCTTAAGAAACTAAAGACGACACGCCTCAGGTTCGAAAAGCGAACGCCAACCGGTGCCAGGTACCGGTTGCATCGTTTATCAAGTGAGGCCGGCATTACATGCCTCAGTTGGGGAGACCCTTGTGCGGGTTGTGCTGACAACTCTTAACGTGCGCAGAGGGATGTGTATTCCCTCGATTCGCCCGGGGGAAGGGCACAAATCTCGGCTGAGATGCGGGACGCGATTGCAAACTTGCTATCCTTCTACAAGCGCCAAAAGCGCGTGTTTACCGATGGTCCCTCGGACCAATCGGATGAGTCTCGTCATACTGGAGGACGAGACCAGGAATACCCATCAACAGCTGAGAGCGAGGCTACCAGCTCTTCCAAGAGGGTGGATACCCCCACCACTGAACGAGGTAGCTCGTCCTTGATCCTGAATCGTCACAATGATTCAAGATACCCTCCACTAAGAAGCATTGAGCACCGTGAGCATCCACCAATGGATGTGGTGGAGGAGGAAAGAACTCCTGTAGAACCCCAGGCCCACAATCTCGATTCTCACGAGATGGATCGCGCAATCGATGAATTGCGCGACGACTTGAAGCACGAGCGCGACCGGCGCTACGCTTTGACTGACACCGTGCGGAAGAACCGCAAGAATCTCGAGGCTGATCGGGCGAGAGACCGCGCCAATTGCGCCACAGCGCAGCTTTGGGTCTAGCGGGATGTCCGCTCCCTATTCAGCGAGCTGGCGACAGCTCGCGGGGAGATATCTCAGTTGAGTTCCGAGGTATCTTATCTGCGCGACCAGACAGATCGTTTGGAGCGCGACCGCAAGAACTTGATGGACGTTCTTGAGCGTGGGGGTTATCTTCAACGAAAGAAGAAGTCTCGTACTGACAGTACGGCCTGAGTCGCCCCACGTAAAACGTAGGATGCGTGCGCATCTTACGTGGCAATTTGAGTGTGTATGCATTGCCTTTGCGGTGCATGACTTGAAATGGCCCGATGTATGTCGGCAGTAGTTTACTACTGCAGACACTAGTGACTGCATGTCCAGGTAAGTTTACCGCAGACAGTAGTACTAGATCATTAACCGTAAATGAAAGAACATTTGCTCTTCCATTCTTGTCTGCGTTCCGTTTCTGGTGGTCCACCGCATTTGCGATGGAGTCCTGAACGAAACGGACTACCGCCTCTCAAGTTAGCAGGAAGTTCTCTGCTGACTCTTTGTTTTTTCTTTCAGTGCGCTTCGTGCGCACTGCTAAGAGATTGCTCTCTTCTTCAGCGAGGTTGTCTTCTTCCTCGCTGGAAAAATCATTGACGATGCTGAATATACCAGCATCATCATCCGAGTCAGTAATAGCGTCGCCGCTATTATTGAGGTGATTTTCTTCATCGATGTCGACCTGATCGACATCGGCATCATACGTGACGACGTTAGCGTCGACACGTGATTAGCAAGAGCCAAAGCGGTTTTTGTTGTAAAAGGAACGCCTCGGCATGAATTAGAAACGTACGACTAGACGATTAGTAATGCGCGACCAGACGATTAGTAATGCGCGATGTGGCGATTACTAATGCGCGACTAGACGATTAGTAATGCGCGATGTGGCGATTACTAATGCGCGACTAGACGATTAGTAATGCGCGATATAGCGATCAGAAACATGTAGTCGAAGAATCCAGTAGGCTTAGAGTAGCAACAGACTTTGTGAAATAAGGACCTAAATATATTCACTTTGCATTTTGCATCCAACCACTCAAGCGCAATTACAACAGGTTATGAGCCCAAGCTCGTTCGACTCTGCCACCGCCGCCACCGACTCCATCTACACAGCCATGGACTCCAGCCCCTCCCGCATCAACAAGTTCGACGGAACCAACTTCCACGCGTGGAAGTTCAAGATGCAGATGGTGCTCGAAGAAAGTGACCTATGGGAGGTTGTCAGCGGTGAAGTAAAGCTCGAGCATTGCGTGAACGCGTTGGACCAAGCGAAGTTCAAGAGGAAGTCCCGCAAGGCGATGGCGATCATCTGCCTCGCTATGGAAGACTCTCGACTGCCGTTGGTCCGCTCGGCGAGTGGTGCGCTTGATGTCTGGTCAAAGCTAGAAGACCACTTCGAGAAGAAGAGCCTTGCGAACAAGCTCTTTCTTCGTCGTCGTTTCTTCACGGTCATGATGGAAGAAGGTGATGACGTGCTCGCGCATATCAACAAGCTCAAGACGTTGGCGAAGCAGCTCGACGCGGTCGGCACTCCGGTCAGCGAGGACGACTTGGTGATCACGCTTCTCGGCAGCCTGAGCGAGTCGTACCAGTTCCTGATCACGGCTTTGGAATCGCGTTCCGACACCCTGACGTGGGAACTCGTGACGTCTCGGCTCCTGCATGAAGACATGAAGCGCAAGGAGCAAGGTGGCGTTGGAATCGCCGCAGGCCAAGCGTTCATGACGGGCGACAATAAGCGCAGTGCGCGGCCAGTAAAGAAGACTGGCACGTGCAACTACTGCGGCAAGATGGGTCATTGGATCGCGAAGTGTCCCTCCCGGATCCATGACAATACGGACCGGCAGCGTCCGCAGCGTGCGAATATGGCGCAATATAAACTTCAAGTGACTTCCTGTTTGCGGTCGATAAGGTGAGCTGCGACGACACCAAGAACCCGAAATGGCTCATCGACTCGGGCGCGACGCAGCACATGTCGTACTCGAAGTGCTTTATGGTCAACTACAAGACCATCGATCCAGTCGACGTGCACCTCGCGGATGACGGTGTTGTGCAAGCGATCGGCAGCGGCGACATCGTGATGAAGATGAAGACTCCAAGTGGCGTCAAAAAGGGTGTACTCACGAACGTGTGGCACATCCCCAAGCTGACGCGCAACTTGTTCTCGGTCGGCCGATTCACCAAGGATGCCGCGCCGATGACATTCGACACCAGTGTCTGCCACGTCAAACTCAAGGGCCAGAAATGGAAGATCGGCGAGCTCGCGGGCAAGGGTCTCTTCAAGCTGTGCGTGACGCCTGCACAAGCGGAAAGTGCGAGCGTCGCGAATGTGGCTGAAGCGCCGCAGATGAGCAAGTCGTACCTGTGGCACCTGCGACTAGGCCACATCGGCCACGGCGGACTCGACACGATTGTGAAGCAGAAACTCAGCGTCGGCATTGACATTGCGTCGGTGAACAAGTGGGAGCTCTGCGGCGGATGCGCGCTCGGCAAGCAGACGCGTGTGAGTTTCCAGTCGACTACAAACGAACGCGCCAAGAACGTACTCGACATCGTACATAGCGATGTATGCGGCCCGATTCAGACGTCGACGTTCTCCGCCAAGCGCTACTTCGTGACGTTCATTGACGACAGGTCGCGGTTCTGCGTGGTGTTCCTACTTCGCAGCAAGTCGGAAGTGCTGGACAAGCTCGTGCAGTTCGTCAAGTTCGCCGAGACCCAGACTGGGAGGCGTGTGAAGGTGCTTCGGAGCGACAACGGCGGCGAGTACGTGTCCAAAAAATTCGCCGCATTCTGCCGCAACGAGGGCATCGTGCAGCAGTTCACGCCTCCGTACACGCCGCAGCTTAACGGAGTTGCTGAGCGAATGAATCGGACGTTGGTCGAGAGTGCGCGGTGCACGATCGAACACGCGGGACTATCCAAGCGCTACTGGGGTGAAGCGGTGACGACGGCAGCGTTTCTGCGGAACCGATGCCCGACGCGTGCGACTGGCAACGACAAGTCGCCACACGAAGCATGGACGCGGAAGAAGCCGTTGTTAAAAAACCTCAAGGTCTTTGGTTGTCACGCGTATGTGCACGTACCAAGGGAGAAGCGGTCGAAGCTCGACGCAAGGTCGGTGTTGTTTCGTTTCTTGGGCTACTCGGACCATGAGAAAGCGTATCGGTTCGAGGAGCTGTCGAGCAGCCGGATCGTGGTGAGTCGCGACGCGCAGTTCATGGACGACACGTTCGACAGCGGCAAGCGCGGCCAAGTCGGAAGCAGCACGTCAGTCGAGATTGCAGATGTCGACAAAGCGACCGACGGTGCATACAGAGATGACTACAGCAACCAAGACGAGGACGACGGCATGACTGAGCAACCGGCGGTGCCAGTCTCTACGAACGAGCGACCTCAATTGCAACAACGCCAGTCTTCGCGTCGCCAGCCCCAGCAGTCGCGGCAACCTAACGTCGAGTACCCATTGAAGTCCAAGCGTCATTCTCGGACGCGCTCGCTCAAACTTCTGTCGGAGCCACCTGTGGAGAAGCGATACGGACGCGTGGGTCGTGCAAGTGCAACAAGTTCGACGCCAGCACCAGCTTCAAGGTAATCGCTCGATGACATGTCGGCGATACTCGCGTCGATTGAAGAAGAAGAAGAAATGAATGCGATCACGTCGTTTATTCAGTGGGGGATTTGCCGACGTCGTTCGAGTCGGTGATGGAATCCAGCGACGCAAGCAAGTGGATCGAAGCGTGCGACTCCGAGTTTGAGTCGCTCTGCAAGAACGAGACGTGGGAGCTCGTGCCATTGCCACATGGTCGCAAGGCCATCAGCAGCAAGTGGGGTTCAAGGTAAAGGAGACCGTCGAAGGCCTCATCGAGCGATACAAGGCGCGTCTCGTCGCAATGGGTTTCCTGCAGAAGTACAGCGTAGACTTCGAAGAGACGTTTGCGCCAGTGGCCAAGTTCACGTCGATCCGGATGATCTTGAGCATCGCGGCCCGGTACAAGCTTGTGCTGCACCAGATGGATGTCAAGACGGCGTTCCTGAACGGTCTGCTCGAAGAAGAGATCCACATGAAGCAACCCGAAGGATTTGTCGACCCCAAGAATCCCGACCTTGTGTACAAATTCAAGCGCGCGTTGTATGGTCTCAAGCAGTCGCCTCGCATGTGGAATCAGACCATCGACGAGTTTATGCGCAAGATCGGTTTCACCAAGTGCGAGATGGATCACTGCGTGTACGTCAAGAGTGACGACAAGGCCATGATGTTTGTGGTGCTCTACGTCGACGACCTCATCCTCGCGTGCAACGACATGGATCTGCTCGTAGCGATCAATTGTGCGTTGAGGGAGCGCTTTGAGATGTCCGACCTCGGTGAACTTAATTACTGCCTCGGCATGGAATTCGAGCGTGATGACAAGTCGGGCGACGTGTTGATGAAGCAAACCAAGTTTGTGCACTCGATCTTGACTAAATTCGGCATGCAAGACTGCAAGCCCGTGAAGACACCTCAAGACCCTGGACTGAAGTTGACCAAGACCATGTGCGAAGGTGGTTGCATGCATGACGACACCATGAAGGGTGTACCATATCGCAGTGCGGTCGGTGCTGTGATTTACCTAATGGTTGGCACTCGTCCAGATCTCGCCGCTGCCGTAGGCACACTGAGCCAGTTCGCCGCCGATCCGTGTCCGACGCATTGGAAAGCCCTCAAGCGCGTGCTCCGGTACCTGCAAGCGACTCCGACGCACGGCATTCGTTTATCCGGCTCCAGCGACGTTGAGTTGATCGGCTACTCGGACGCGGATTGGGCTGGCGACATTGAGACTCGACGCAGCACCAGCGGTTACGTGTTCTTGTTCAACGAAGGGTGCATCAGCTGGCGCAGCAAGAAGCAGCGCACCGTGGCTCTCTCATCGACTGAAGCCGAGTACATGGCACTTTCGGAAGCAATTCAAGAGGCAGTCTGGCTCAAGGCCTTCATGAGTGAACTCGGCGAAAAAGCGGGCGACGGTGCTTTGACGGTGTTTGAAGACAATCAAGGCGCGATCGCTTTGGCCAAGAATCCGGAGTTTTACAAGCGCATTAGGCACATCGATATTCGCTACCTTTTTGTGCGCGAGAAGGTCGAGGACGGCCAAGTGGTGCTGGAGTACTGTTCAACGCAAGACATGCTCGCGGACATCATGACATAGCCGATCGCCGCCACTCAGTTCGACGCTCTTCGCAACATGTTGGGCAATAAGGCACCACGGTCTGCCGAGGCGAGTGGGAGTATTGTAAAAGGAACGCCTCGGCATGAATTAGAAACGTACGACTAGACGATTAGTAATGCGCGACCAGACGATTAGTAATGCGCGATGTGGCGATTACTAATGCGCGATGTGGCGATTACTAATGCGCGACTAGACGATTAGTAATGCGCGATGTGGCGATTACTAATGCGCGACTAGACGATTAGTAATGCGCGATATAGCGATCAGAAACGTGTAGTCGAAGAATCCAGTAGGCTTAGAGTAGCAACAGACTTTGTGAACCAAGGACCTAAATATATTCACTTTGCATTTTGCATCCAACCACTCAAGCGCAATTACAACGGGTTTTGCTCGATCGAGTCCCTCCCCACTTATCCAAGATTCACACTCTAGAAGTGCGGGCAAACGTGGAAGGCGTAAGCCATTCGCGTAAAACGGTGTGTGCTGTGTGGAAGCATGCACCGAATTATTGATGGCGAATTCCACCATGAGTAAAAATTCGCTCCGGCTCGGAAACGAGTGGACATATCCCCGAAGGATCTCTTCGAGGACACGGTTCGCACGTTCCGTCTGACCATCTGTTTCTGGATGGTCAGAAGTGGACATCTTCAATCGTGTTCCCAGAGTACGGAACACGGTTTGCCAAAATGCCGCCGTGAACCGAGGGTCACGGTCGAATACGAGTTCACGGGGTAACCCGTGGAGTCGGAAGATCGTGTCTAGAAAGACACGAGCACAACCTTGAGCCTTGATCGACTCAGGGACAGCTGCAAGATGGACCATCTTGCTGAATTGGTCAACAAACAAAAGAATACCATTATTCTTGTGAGCGTCTTCGGGAAAACCGAAGACGAAGGACATTTAAACGAACTGCCAGCACTCTGCCGGGACCGGTAGAGGCTGTAATGGGGCACGGTATGAAGGAATAGGCTTCACCCGTTGACAAACTTCGCAAGAACGTATGTACTTGCGTACGAAATGATTCTGGCGGGGCTAGTAAAAGTCACGACTTACCGTGAGGTAAGTCTTTTCTCTCCCACGATGGCCGCCTGTTGGGGCATCGTGACACTCATACATGATGCGTAAACGCAAATCATCATGAGCGGGGACGACGACACGAGGCGTGTCGCCGTCAACAGCTGTATAGTACAGCAACCCGTTGCGTGTCGTATACCGATCCGAGGAGGATCGGTACGAATCCAGTAAATCTTTCAATGATTTGCTGGATGGATTCAACAGATAATCCACTAATCGCAGAAGATCCTTACCTTCTGCGTATGCCTTTCGTATGTCGTCAAGTAAGCTTGACGACGGAACACTGGCTCTCAGTGTCACAACAGTGGGCTTATCCTCACTGTTGGATTGTGCGTCCGGCTCGAAATCGGGCCGGCGCGAAAGCGCATCAGCGACGACATTGAGTCGTCCTGGTTTATACTCTATGGTGAAGTTATACTCCGCTAAGAAAGACAGCCACCTCGACATCCTTTGCGAGAGGTGTGGGCTGTTTACGGCCGTGCGTAGTGACGCATGGTCCGTATAGACAACAAACGGTCTATCTCCGAGGAGATAGACGCGAAACTTAGCCAGTAAGTACTTCATGGCAAGGAGTTCCTTGTCATGCACTGGGTAATTGCGCTCATCTGCCTGCAGCTGACGCGACTGATAACAGATGACGCGCTCTGCGCCGTCTGTGTCAAATTGCATCAATGCACATCCTACATCCAAATTGCTGGCGTCACAGACCACATGAAAAGGTCTGTCCTGATCTGCAATCGCCAAGATCGGCGACTGCATCAAGCTTTGTTTGATACCTTCAAACGAACGATGACACTCAGCGTTCCATGACCACTTGACATTTTTCTTGAGCAAACAAGAATGATGTACCGTCGTTTCGGCGTAGTTGCGCGAGTACTTGTGCAAGTACGCCGATAGACCAAGGAACTTCCTTATTCCTTTGACATCGACTGGCACTGGCCAGTCGGTGATCGCCTTGATCTTTTCGGGATCAGGGCGTACGCCGTGTTTACCCACGATGCACCCAAGAAGTGGTATTTCGATAGCCGCGAATATACACTTCTTGAGGTTGGCGTACAACTTATACTTGCGCATAAGTTGAAGAACCTGACGAACGTGAGTTCTGTGAACTTTAACGTCCGTCTTTCCGTCCATAGCCCGGCTATGGACCAACACATCGTCAAAATAACTCGGTGCGAAGTCTCGCACCGGTCTCAACATATTTGTGACACATCTGTTGAATGTTGCAGGGGCATTGATTAGTCCCTGTGGCATAACTAGCCACTCCCACAGCATCCCGCTGGTATTTATCACTGCCGTGAACGGGATGTCCCGTTCACGCATGAGGATCTGATAGAATCCATCCATCAGATCCGTGGACGAAAAGATGGTACTCTTTGACATACCATCTATGATTACGTCCTTCCTCGGTATCGGCGTCTGAGCCGGTACCGTTGCAGCATTCAATATATTAAAAAACGTGCACTATATGCCATCCTCCTGTGGTCTTTCGCACACAGAAGGTCGGAGAGCTGTGAGGGGATGTTGATTCCCTCAAATGGCCCGCTGCTAAGCGATCGGCAAAGAACTTGTCGATTGCTATCACTTGTTTACGAGGCAGTGGCCACTGCTTCATGACAAAATATTTCGAGCCCGGTTTGAGCTCGATCTCGTGTCGAGTGCCTTTGTCCTTAGGCAACTTGCAAGGTACGGATTAAGGGAACACATCCTTGAATTCGATCAAATCCTTGTACAAAGGATTTGCCTGAAGTGACTCCCAGGATTGAGACGTGTATCGCTCAATCCGAGTCTTCTCATCGAAGACACTTTCGTCCATCGATGAGCTGCTGAGAACCCGTTCATTCTCAGCAAATACTGTCGCCGACTGAATATCGGCCACATACTGATCCTATGTGACGAGTATGAAGATCTGCATGGCTTTTCCACTACGCAGATCATGCAAGAACCGTTTCGGTTCTAGCGTTGGCAACTGAGTTATCTCCGAAGTCAACTTCGGAGGCACAATCAGATCAAGCGTTTAAGCGCCTACGCTTGATCCGTCATTGACCAAGACGTTCAACGTCTCGGTTACTTCCTAAGAACTTCGTTCCACAGGTTGCTGAAGGCCTAATCGTTCAGCAAGTGACTCTTGAGGAATTCCTTCTTCAAGTACGCGGGGACTTATTCCCTAGACGTCTTCTGACTGTGGCTGTGCAACCACAGTCAGGTACCAATCCTCTACGGTCGACTCTTCAGTCGACCTAGGATGTCCATGTTGTCTCTTGTGGGCAACCGGTATACTCTCGCTAGGATGTCGTACGCTAGGCGTACATCC